GATGTACACGAAAAATATTTGAATAAAATATTTTTGCTTACCAAAAATATTTTATAATATCAAAATAAATATTTGATAAATGTTTGACACACTTTTTGTAACTGACTCAATAAAACTATTTTGAACAGTTAAAAAGATTTTTCAACTGACTCCAAAAATAAATATAATTTTTATTTTGACTCTCATAAAAATAATTTTGGAGAGAAGATATTTTTGTCATCCTTACAATAATTCCTAAGACTCAAATAAATAAAAAGTGTTCGGAAATCTTCTACTCCTCCGAGTCCTCCGTTAGGCGCTCCGGACGCGTCTCGGACTTCAACAAAATCCTGTGCACCTTCTTGAATACTTCAAGGAATGACACTTCAAGTCTTCGTATTTGTTGTATTAGCACTTTAATCTTGACTTGAATAAATTGTATTTGTCAATTATCAAAACCTGTGAGTCAACACTAAACAACACAGAAAGGGTTGAACTCATGCATTCCAACATTCAACACTACTTTGCTCAATTGTGTGAGCTTTCATTCTTGTATTGTAAACTCAATCTCATTTGAGTGTTGTTCTTAAGACTTGTGTGACTCAAGTCTTGTTGTTGTAAGAAAGTGAGGCTTGTGTGATTCAAGTTCTCAAGTTGTACCGGTTTTCAAGCACCCGTTGAAGCTTGAAGATTAGTAGGACTTTCGAGAGAGTCTCTCGGAGGACTGGACTAGCCACGAGGTGGTGAACCAGTATAAATCTCGGTGTTCTTCTTTCCCTTACTCTCTTTATTTATTCCTGCGATTTTATTATTTCACACACGTGAAAAACGCACATTCTTGAAAACAACTCTATTCACCCCCCTCTAGAGTTGCACATTTGTCTAACAATTGGTATCGGAGCAGGAAGTTCTTCGAATACGTTATTTTTCAGGAACTAAAAGATCAAATGGCATCAAGGATGTTCCACGCAGGAGTGACCGAGGGACAATCAACCACGAGACCACCTTTGTTCGATGGAACCAACTACTCATATTGGAAGGAGAGGATGAGAATCTTTATCCAATCCAACGACTACAAGCTGTGGTTGATTGTGAAGAACGGCTACGGAGTCCCGATGAAGAAAGTCGGTGAAGTCAACGTTCCCAAAACCGAAGAGGAGTTCACCGACGAAGACTGCAAAAAGATGGAGCTCAACGCAAAGGCAATAAACATGATTTATTGCAGTGTTAACGTGGATGACTACCGCAAAATCTCGCGGTGTGAAACCGCAAAACAAATGTGGGAGAAATTGGAGGTCACCTACGAAGGAACCGCGCAGGTTCGGGAGGCCAAAATCGACCATCTCACCCATGAGTACGAACTCTTCTCAATGAAGGAAAACAAGAAGACTGAGGAAATGTTTGAGAGGTTCTCTAACATCATTAATCCCCTCAATCTTCTCGGGAAGACATACACCGACCGAGAACTTGTAAGAAAGGTGCTACGAAGCTTATCCCCAAAATGGCGTTCAAAGGTGGACGCTATTGAAGAAGGACGCGACTTCCAAACAACGACCAATGATGCTCTTCGAGGTAACCTCATTACCTACAAAACCACCCAACTCTCAAAGGTGGTTGAAGAGAAGAGCAAGAGGTCTATTGCT